ATAATGTAGCTGATTTACTAACAACAATTAAAGAATTAGAAAGTAATAATGCATGGTGGCACGGACCAAGTTTCCTTAATTTTGCATGATCCACTGAAGTAACAAATTAATTGCTTGATATAAACAAGTTTTCATGTTGGAAAAAACTTGTCAGTATAAATGACTGGATACATTGGTTTGTAGGAAATTGTCAATTTGAAACATAAATTGTCAATTTAAAACGTAAAAATGGTGATATAACAACTGATGAATATCATGAAAGTGAAAAATAAATCATAGCTAAAGCTCAAAAAGAAAGCTTTAAAGAAGAATATAGCAACATTGAAAAAGGAAAACCGTTATCGATATCAAGCAAAATCATTTCTTTAAATCCACAAATTGACGAAGATGGATTATTGCAATCTTGTAGTCGATTGCAAAAAATCCATTACTTACCCTACGATGTTAAGCATCCAATCATTTTGCCGAGAGGACATACAATTTGGACAAAAAATTGATTGTTAAACATTACCATGACGAAGCCAATCATGTGATGGGAACAAATCAATTATTAACAAAACTATCAGAACAATATTGGGTAATACAAGGACTAGAAGAAATGCGAGATGCAGAAGCAAAATGCAACAAATGTAAGTTAAGAAGATGTAAACCTGCTCAACAGCTGATGGCCCCTTTACCAGAGGGAAGATATGACAAAAGAGATACTTGTGTTTGTTTACCTGTTTACTATCACGAGCAGTACATCTTGAGATGGCTTATAATCTAGATACAAATTCATTCCTCAATGCCTTTTATCGAATGATGAATAGAAGAGGATTACAAGTGGAAGTTTACAGACAATGGAACAAATTTTGTTGGAGGATGTCGAGAACTAAACAATATTGTCAACAACTTAGATAAAGATAAAATTACTAACTCTACAGCTGATAAAGGAATCAAGTGGCATTTTAATGCTCCGCTAGGACCTCATCTTGGTGGTGTGTTTGAAATAATGGTCAAGTGTGTCAAACATGCAGTGGAAAAAGTTGATATTACAGATGAAGAACTCTGTACGGCATTTATAGGTGCTGAGGGTTTTATTGAATTCTCGCCCACTAACGTACCAGAGTGCCAATGTATAAGGTGATATTTCATTAACTCCAAATCATTTTTGATTGGGCAAGTTAGAGGACAATTCGCACCTGACTCAGTTCAATCTAAAGGCTATCATCCTAAAAAACGCTGGCGTCAAGTGCAAGAACTACTATGTCATTTTTGGAAAGGGTGGATGAAGGCTTCCATCTTTATCTAAAAGATATAAATGGAATCAAGAAAAACGCAAAATAAAAACTGAAGACATTGTGTTAGTAATTTCTCCAGATACACCTAGAGGACATTGGTTGCTTGGTAGAATTATGGAAGTCTTTGAAGGTAAAAATGGGCGTGTAAGAGTTGTGAAAGTCAAAATTGGCAAAAAGAATTTATATGACCAAATTCGAGATTGTGTCTTCTTGAATTTAGAAGAATATTCACAATAGATATAACCAGTAAATAGCGCCAATATGGCTATAAGGAACTAAATAACAATTATATGGCAACTATATGGCGAGTTTTGTTGTTCTTTGTTTTTCAGATACAAAAATATAAAGAATATAAGTGATATAGTTAATGTAAAAACAGTTGAGATCTCAAAAAAATAAGTTATAATACATATTCGGTAATATTTGTGATCGCCATCGGGTCAAACATTCTATTGCAAACATTAAACCAAAAATTAAATAATAAAAAATTTAAATAAAAAAAAAAATTCTACTTCTGTGCAAAAAATAAAAAAATAAAAAACATTAAAAAATATATATATAATTTAATTTAGATTTAAAATAAATATAATTTAATTTTGATTTTAAAAATATATTTAAGGTTATTAAAGTTAATGTTTGGGTTTAACTGTCAAATTTATTTAAAAATATTACTAAATATTGTTCAACATTTAAATTTTATTTGTTCTTAAAAAAAAATTAGCTCATTTTTATAGCAATTGTTTTTTTGGTTTTTCCTTCCTAAACATTTTTTTACTCGAAAAATTTTTTTAAATAAACAACATCAAAAAGTTGCAAAAAACGTAAGTTAAACTTATTTTTTTATAATGCAAGTTAAATCGCAACGATTATTTTTTAATAAACGATATATACAGCCATATATGTTAATAAATAACATTTATGTTATTAATGTTATAATCTGTATAATCTGTCTGGGCAACAAAACAATGTAAGAATGTTTTATGTTAAAACAAGCTCTTTATATTGATAAGACAACTTATATTGATAAAACAACTTCACAGTATTGTTTCACTGTTGTTTTATAGGTTTTTACAATAACAATTTAATACTCTTTCAAAATAAAAAGTGTTTTATCGTCAGCATCAGGCCTTGTTTTAAATAAAAAATGTTTAACCCAAAAACCTAATGTGAATTTGTCATCATAAAATTCTATTTTTTTATTTTTTAAAGACACTAACATTTTTAAATTACTGCAATAATATTTATTACCACAAAATGAGTTGAATGTTATTTAACTTCTTTTATTTCCTTTTATTTTTATTAATATTAAATTTAATATTACATTTGTAAAAATGTTTGATATTACCAAATTTCTTTATTTTCTTGACATTAGTATAAATGAATTATAATATGTTAAATTTTTGAATTTTTAAATGATTATTTCTTAAATTTCTAGTTGTGGCTTTGCAACTACAAATGATTTTTTATTAAAAAAAAATTAGTAGTAACAAATAAAAAAATTGCGTTAATTTATTTACTTTACTTTTAAAAAGTTTTTTATTTTATTAACGATTTTGCTCTGAAAGCAAAGATTTTTCCAAACATCATTTATTAAAATTATATGGCTGTATATATCGTTTATTAAAAAATAATCGTTGCGATTTAACTTGCATTATAAAAAAATAAGTTTAACTTGCGTTTTTTGCAACTTTTTGATGTTGTTTATTTAAAATTTATTTTTGAGTAAAAAAATGTTTAGGAAGGAAAAACCAAAAAAACAATTGCTAAAAAAATGAGCTAATTTTTTTTTAAAAACAAATAAAATTTAAATGTTGAACAATATTTAGTAATATTTTTAAATAAATTTGACAGTTAAACCCAAACATTAACTTTAATAATCTTAAATATATTTTTAAAATCAAAATTAAATTATATTTATTTTAAATCTAAATTAAATTATATATATATATATATTTTATCAGAATAAAATTATATATTTTTATTAAATTAGTTTTAAATTAAATCATATTTTTTATCAGAATTAAATTATATTAGTATGATCTTTGCTTCAAGCTTAAAGTATTAGCATTTTTCAAGCAAAAAAATCAATCGTTACAATAAAATAAAAACAAAATAAAAATAAATTTTTAATTTTATTTGAGTTTTTTGCATTTGTAAAGAGCGCTTATATCTAAAATAATTTTCAAACTTTTATAACAAATATTTTTACATAAACGCTATTCAAAAGTAAAAGTGATTTTTTTCTAAAAATTAATTACTTTTATTATCTTACTGCTTATAGAATAATTTAAAAGTTAAAAAATGATAAGTCGCTAAACTAAAATCCCTTACTGTTTACATAGAATCGTTTAAGGTGTATATAAATTGCTCTACGCGAATGCTTTAAAACAAGACCTGCAGCAAGAACACGGGGTATTAAATACTTTTTTATAATTAATAATATTTGCGTTTTTACTTATATAATATCATAACAAGTAAAAACAATTACTAATAGTAATATTGTTATCGTATTAAATATACTACTTGCTGATTTCACTATAACTGCAACTTAAACTTGAAATTATAATTAAAACTGTAAATTATAACAGTAACTTATGCTATTTTAAACCCCTTTAGACAAGAATATTATAAGAAAATATTTAAATATGAGAAATATTATTTTAAAATAATAACGACTACAGACTAATGTACAAACAATACAATTTTAAGCTACTGCTGTGGTGCAGAGGGGGGATTTCAAAAAATTAGAATTTTTTGCACTAATTCGAGCCCTGCAATTGTGATACTGCATACTGCAGTAAATGGTGCAGCATGTCATTGACTTTTACTCAACAATTAATATTAAAGATATAACTTCTGTTATGAAGGTGCTTTTCAAAATCAATTAAAACAGCATCTAAATAATAGTAGTACACACATTTAGTAGTGTAGTACAAGCCCCTAAAAGTCTAATATTATAGAAAAACCGCATAATAGTGATGATTTTTATCATTTATCAAAAACATTTATTAAAATAATTATGTTTTTCCTTAATTAGTAATAATTAATAAAAAAAGGAGAAATCTAAATGGAGCATTACATATTGATCTTAATTGGGTAATTAATAAGCTAATTAAAATTGTTATTTTTTATTGCCCTTCTACATGGGTCACCTTATTATAGATTTGTATCTTTGATCTTTGATTTCCTCTATTGAAGTAATGTATTTATTTATAATTAGTTTCAATAAACCACAATGTGAATAGATATTTGACAATTAATAACAAGTTTATTGATTTGATTTAGTTTACTGAATTTTATTTATTAATTGATTTATAGATAAAAATTATATTTATAATAATATTATTTTAAAAAATTCAGTTTTACTATTCTCAAAATTTTGTTTAAGATTTTTTTTTGACTTTACAAAAAAGAAAAAAGTTCATCTTTTATAACAATCCTTTTTTTTTATTAAGAAAATTGAGTTGGTCGTTTTTTCTTTTGCGAAAAACGACCAACTCAATTTTCTTTATTTTTTTTAAAGCAAACACTTTCACAATACTATTAAAATCTAGCGGAGAAGTTTTTTTTAGCTCCAGGTGTTTAAAAAAAGTTTGCTTCATTAACAGATAAAAAAAGGACATTTTTTGGTTGGAACAATGAGAATTTCTGTTTAGTTTATTAGCTCTTTTTGTGATATGTTATGCTACTATAGTATGTTTTAAAAAATTTCTTAAACAGCAAAACTAAAGGATTTGAAGCTGAAGAAAAATTGATTTATCAGGTTATTGAAAGTTCTGATAACAAAGGTATTATTTATTATCATTTTCCTAGTATTGCATTATTCAATATATATATATATATATATATATATATATATATATACATATATATATATATATATATATATATATATATATATATATATATATATATATATATATATATATATATATATATATATATATATATATATATATCCTTATATCGTAGTCGAAATAATATTTTAGAGTATGTGTACCAAGTAAACTTAGGTATATCATTATTCAGCATAGTTACATTATTTAAAATCCATATGTCAAGTTTAGCTGTTAAAAAATTCACAGAAACAGCATTAATGACATCAGTTGATTCCAGTAAAAAGATGCTCTGTTTGTTAAAAAATTATGTCAAGACAAAATCTAGTTATTTTGCAATTATATTTCATTTGATGAACTCTTGCTGATTAATAATATCTTGGCAAATTTCATTAATTAAATTGACTTTTTGAATTCCATTGAATAACTTATACTTTTGATTCAAATCTGTCTTAAAACTAAATTAGTGAGACCCATTTTATCTGATCTTTTGTCATAACATAGTTATTTTAGTGGCGATATTATTCTTGTAATATTATTGCACGGTGCTATACCTTTTTTGATTCTGAAAGATTAACTTCATTTTTAAGACATGGAGACCACACAGATACAGCAAATTGAATAAACGGTCTTACAAAAGTTGTGTATATAATTTTTAGTAATTCATTATTTGAACTTAAAAAAGTATTCCTCAACATACCTAAAACTTTATTTGCTTTACTTGCCCATAGAGTTATTTGATTTTTCCATTTCAAGTCAAAGGTAAATACTACACCAAGATCTTTTTCAGCAGCAATGGTACTTAAAGGAATATTTTGCATAAAATAAGTTCTTTTTGGGTTATTTTTACCAAAGTGCATTATTAAACACTTTTCAAATTAAACTTTAATAGCCATTTGTTGGACCAGTTGACAGATTTATCTAGGTCATTTTGCAATAGGTTAACACTTGCTTCACAATTAACCCTTGATAATATTTTTGTATACATCAGCATACATTTTTGAAATATTAACACAGTTCTTAGCAAATCGTTAATATAAATAATAAATAGTAAAGGACCAATAACCAAGCCCTGCGGCACACCACTAAATATATCCTTCCAAAACGAGACAATTTCTCCCATGATAATTCTTTGTCTTCTATTTTTTAGAAATGCTTCAAAATTATTTTAACAATGTACCAGAAATCCCATAACATTTAAGTTTTATCAGTAGTCTTTTATGGGGCATTGAATCAAATGGCTTTGCAGAGTCTAAATAAGTTACATCTACAGGTAAGTTACATCTAAGTAAGTTACATCTGAGATAAATAACACAAAATTAATGTCTCAATAAGGTTGGTTGAACAAGATCTTTTTTTAACAAAGCTGTGCTGATTTTTCGAAAAAAGATTATTTGCATTTTGAAAATTCATAATTAAATCTTGCACATCTCCTTCTAGAATTTTACAAGGTACAGAAGTGAATGAAATTAGAGGGTAATTCAATGGCGACAGTTTCCTTTTTTTTTAAATTGATGACTAATATTGGCTGATTTCCACTGTACAGGTAGTTCACTAAGCACAATGAAAGCTGTAAATATATGTGCAAGGGGTAGAGCTATTCCATATGCACAATTTTTTAAAATTATAGGTCGAACCCGGTGTTTCCTTTGTTTTTGACTGCAATCTTCTCACATTTTTTGTTTTAACCTTTGCTCCAAGATTATTAAATAATTACGTAATTTTTTAATTATCATCTTCAATTTTTTCAGATTGCAAAGATTTGTCTGACTCGACTATTCCATAAACAATTACATTTTTGGCTCTTTTATTTCTTTTGTTTTGTTCATTGACAGCTGCATTTACTACCGATAATTGCTCTGGTGATCGCTTATTATTCACTTTGCTAGCTGTATCCATCCAGAATTTTTAAGTGGTGGGAAATCTGCAGAATTCTTTTCCATAGACTTAACTCAATTTTCTAAATTGGAAATTTTTTTTGTTTTTTCAGTTAATTCAAGTTTTAATTAAAAAATTTTTTTCATCAATCTGCTTAGCATGCTGTATTTTAAAAGTAATAATTTTTAATAATAATAATTCTAATAATTTTAAAAGCTTGAGAGTTTTTAAGTTTTAAGTTTTTAAATATTTTTATGCAATGCAATGTAAATATTTTTATTTACAAGTTTTATTATAAATTGCAGGCCTTGTTAAGAAGTGTTTCCCTATTTGAATTTTGCGTACGTATTTACGATTTTACGTATGCGTTTCGCAATTTACGTTACGCAAAAACTTTTTTCATTAAGTTTATTTTAAACAGTATTTTAAAACAGATTAAGCGGAACCCATTAAACTGTAATTAATTGTTGTAAAAAACATTTGTCAAATATTTTTTTTAATTAGATAAAAAAAACAGATAGATATCTTTTTTCTATTTTCCGTTTTTAAAAAAAAATGTTTTTAATTAATTTTCTTAAATTTAAATTAATTTTATTATTATTCATAGTTTTAGTAATTTATTTGATTAAATTTAATCTTTTAAAAATTTAAAAATGCTCTGTTTTACAATTTTTTTTGCTGATAAAATTTCTAAAATTTATGTTAAAGTAAAAAAAAAAATTTAATAAATTTAATTCAAGTTACTTTAAAATGTTCGCATTACATATAACTTCATTTTAATTTCAGTTAAGTTTCAAATAGTTCCAGTTCCAAATACTGGTCTGAATAATGCGCTTTTATAAATTTATAAATGACGTCAATACAAAAAAGTTTTTTCAAACTTGAGTTTAAATGTTATGTTTGGGTTTTCCCTTTGCTGTTAAATTTTGTGTAAAAGAATTTTTTTATTAAACGAACCAAACTTTAAACCGATTAAAAATAATGCGATCAAAAAATAAACTCTTTAAAAGCCTAGCTTATATTTATTTTATTAAAAAAAAAAATTACTTTTGCTATAAATATAAGATTTATAAAATTTCAAAATTATACTGATATTTGTTAAAAACAAGTTCTGGTAAAGTTAAAACCGAAAAACTATTTTTCTTTTTGGATTCAGTAAGAAATATTAAAAATACATTAGGTTTCACAGTACATAAAAATAAAATATTTTAATTGAAATTAAAAAAAAACGGAGCCGAAAAGCGGTAATCTTTGTTTAAATACAATTTTTATTTTATCGAAAGCCAGTTAGCGCAAAGATTTTTTAAAAAAGGGGATAACCCAATTTTATTTGTACACTTAAATCACTTTAGGGATCGTCCATAAATTATGCAACGCAAAGTTTATTTTAAAAATATAAGGAGAACATTTTGCTCTTTTGAGTGGCGTCTTTCGGCTGGATTTCAAGGGTTATTTATACATGGTTTAATTTAAGACTCTGCGGGGGGGAAACCTTTAACACTTTTTCTTTTGTCTATTAGTTAAATTTCGCATTACATAATTTATGGACGATCTCTTAAGAAAATCAACACTAAACAAGTGTCTCCTCATTTAAAAAAATAACCATAAAAATAATTTTTTTAAGAAAAAAAATTAAGTTTAAATAAGTATAAGATTTTAAAATAAGGAAACTTTTTTTTAATCAACATTTAAATTTAATTTATAACTTTTTTTATCACAATATTGTTTAATTTAAAGATATAATTTTAAATTTTTTAAACATTTAAAATACTTACAATAATTTCTGATGTGTTTTTGAATTTAATTACAATGAGGTATTTTAAAATACGTAACTGCAGCAATTAAACTTTTAACGATGTAAATATTTTTATTTAATAAAGTTACATATATTTATGTTGCGCTTTTCCGTTGCGCAACAAAATCTCATAACAAGGCCTAAAATTACATAATTAAAGGTTTCAATACTTTAAAACAAAGAAACATAAATGATGTTTACATTGAGATAATTGCAAAAATAAAAATAAAATATATATATATTCCTTATTTCAAGAACAAAAAATGAATAAATAAATGGATAAATAAATACCAAATCAAACCTAAACAAATGACTAAAGCAAAAAAAACGAGGCGACTAAAACAAAAACCCTGACTTGAAAATCAATCAAGAATAGTAGAAACAGTGAAAAAAGCGACACAGTGAAAAAAACGACAGAAGGAATCACAATTAAATATAAATAAAGAATTATTTCAAAAACAAAATATAATAAAATAAACAAGTTTTTAGTAATTTAAGTCTTATGCAGTTAAAACACGTCTTAATGCTTTTGAAGCAGAAGGTGAACTTTGATTTAATAAATTATTTTCAAATGTGTTGTATACAAATTTATAACATTTCATCATTTAATCTATAAATATATGAAATATGGTTGTAAGAAGAGTCCATTTTTTTAAATAATAATTAAAATGGATCAAACTTTTTTTTCAAATGATAGGCTAAATCACCTGAGTATAAAGAATGACTTGTTAAGACTGACAACAATAAATTTGCTAGATGTAGCAGTTGTTGTAAAACTTTTAACTTGTCAAACATGGGAGTTCAGGCAGTTAAGAGGTAATGAAATTAATGAAGGTAAAAAACCAATATTTAGCTAAATCAATATTTAACCAAAGCCCTTTTTTAAACTTGTTACAAAATATTTACTATTACATCAATGCTATCCCTGGCAGTAGGTCAAAAACTTTAGAACTTGTTGTTACTTCCAATGAAAAAAAAAATTTTGAAATTAAATGGGTTCTAGCTACTACAGCACATATACTAAAATATTTCAATAATAAAATATAAAGTTTTAATTTATCGTAAATGATTTAAGTATCTATAGATTGACCTAATACAAATTGGAAATTTTTAAAGAAATTTCCATATACTGAAATGAGTGTGAATTAAATTCTTTACATGACATTTAGAGATGTAGTTTGCATGTAATATGGAGCTTTGAAATTTGGTTTTGAGTCTACATCATGGATTCTAAAAAATATTCATAAGGGATCATACCAAATATTGCATGATACTCCGG